TCAGTAGAATAATATAAAAGAACATTCAATGCCTATAGATAACTAAAAGAAATTAAAATTTGAATGATGATCACAAGAAGAAGAAGAAGAAGAAGCAAAACTTCACTGTTTTTCCATCATTGTCATCATCATCATCATCATCATCATCTTTGCCATTGAAATGTATAAATCTTTGCAATCCAATTCAATATAAATTGGTACTCTTTTTTTTCCTACATACATTTGTATACATTCATGAAACCTACATAAAGTTTATGTCATTTTGTATAATTGACAGTTGATGGATAACTTTAAAAAAATATTATTGAACTTACAATGTAAATGAACTACATGATTTTTATGTAAAGATTTGAAAAGTTAGTTAAGCTATATATAATATACAAATATACAAATAGATAGATATATACGGGTACTAATATACACTCGGTAATATGTCTATCGAGTTATTCTGTTCAATTTGAATAATAGCTAAATGAAATCATATAAAAAATTATTTGCAATTTACCAAGGTTTATTATGATTATTAGAAATTTATTCTGTCTGTTTTTCTTTTTAGTTGTCAAAACCACAAGATAACTGACACTTGAATAATGGATTAAGTAAAACAATTACCATGTTAACTTTAATTCTTCCATTACAACTATTAGCACGGATATTTTTCTTTTTTGAAAAATTTAGTTACAAAGTACAGATATTTAAATTTTACAATATCACTTGTATGTAATAAGTATCTGCTGTTTCGAACTGAGTAAAATTAAACTATTGAGTATACTTAATGTCAGAAAGGGGTTTTTTATGGAGTAATAATAGTTGAGTTTATGAGTCAATTAAAGCTAGACCATCATGGAAAACATGAAAGCAATGGACGGCCGTTTGGTCCTAGTATGGGGCAGCCTAGCAGTGCGCATCCACAATCTCGACCACGGGATTCGAACCCATGATATTCAATCTCGCACTCGAGCACTTAACCTCTAAAACATTGAGCCTGCATCCAACATTGTTAATGTCTATCTTCAACCAATCCAGAAAATTGCACCACCGTCCACCATTGTCTTCAGTGAATTACTATCTCACAATTTCGTGGATTGGTTGAAGTTAAACATTAACACCTTTGGGCCCCGGCACAGTGGTCTAGAGGTTAAGCGCTTGCGCCCGAGACCGAAGGTCTTGATTTCGAGTCCCGCAAGCGAAATCGTGTATACTTAATTTATTTTCATGGTCTTGGTTCCAGTAATTGTTAGTGTTGATATAGTATAGGAGCAAGTGCAGAAACAATAATATATTTATCAGAATACTGTAAAAATAACAAATGACATTGTTATACTATATGAACGCATATGAGCTACTTATTCTCACTGATCGAAATGCAACAAAACATGATTTTCTATAATTATAAATGATAACTATTATCAGTGATCTTTTCTGCATATAAAATCATTTGAGCATTGAATTGGAAAAAAAAGACGTGAAACAATGGCTTAAGGCATGAACTTTCTTGAACAGGGTAATTAAAAAGACAGGTAATGTTACAAGTTTGAAAGAGCTAACAAAAGTTCTTGGAATGGAATCAGTGAAAATCTCAAAGTGAATGCATCGATGTTTTTAAAGTAATTAATTAAAATTAGAATGAAATGGACAGTTAGAGTTTTTAGTAAAACTTCAGTTGACTATACTATATTGACAATTTTGTCCGTTTGAACGAATAGGTTGAAGTTTCAATAAAACTTTTTAAAATGAACTGTACTAAATTATATTTTATCGATTATTAGTCCAGGTAAGTAGCTCAAAAAACGCTGACAATATGACCATTATCAGTTAAGGGCTTAGTTATTAATTTCTTTAGAACTGTGACGCTTATGACTAATAGAAATATGATCATGTACTGTTTTTCTCGTACCTTCAATTCATATCCTTTGCCGTTAATATATAAAATGATAAAAGCAATAAGACTAACTACTTTAGTGTGTGTTTATCACTTAGGCTTAAATTTCAATCATCTTTTTTGTCATTATTAGGAACCAATAAAAGTTTCCCCGGTTTTTAAATTGCACCACAGTAGCCGGTATTTTTAAAGTAAGATCTGTTTTATGGCTGAACATAAATCTTGAAGTTTATATTTATCACTTATTCTTACTTAGGAAGTGATTGATTTAGATAGATCACATGGTTTCTCTCACCCTATTAATGCTCCGAATATGAATGATGGACTGACGTTTCAAGATTTTCAGATTTATTCCCTTTATGTTAAAAAATGTCAATTTTATTATTTTTGGCTCAACATTTGACTGTCAACTTAATGAAAAATACTTCAGATCACTGTTATTTATGCATGATAGGATGTATTATGATAGTAGTCTTATAGTGGGATATACTAAATAACCGAAAACGAAAATTCTTCAGTTATTAAGTTTTACATGTTACCTGAGCGACTACTTTATGATATTTACCATTTATCGTAGGATTATTTATTTCGGTTTGTGTGGAGTTATGCTCATTTGGAAGATTGTTTTCAGTATGAAACGACAACGGCAAGAGAGTCATTACACAACTAGAAGTCATAAAATTGTTAATGTTGATATGACTCATATAGAATGTTAACTTGAATCTGCGTTTATGTTAAGTGAAATTTTAAGATCCATGATCAGAATAAATATGGGTGAAATTGGGTGAGAGAGAAATGATAGTGCGATTACAATTCGATCAAATAAGACGTATTACGGAGGGATGAATGCGAAGTGAATGAATCATGTTTAGGGGAGATTAATAAGGATGTTCAACCAATAGTAATAAAGTTCACTTGGTGTTATTTTACTTGGATCTTTCCATTGATGTTTAGGACTGCAATTGATCAGTCTCTTATTGACATATGTACATATTGCATGTATTGCCTCGATAATGCCTTAATTTACAAGCATTATAGGCAAAGATGGATAATGGCAAGCAGTGGAATCCAGGACGCACGTTTCAAGTAAAACAATACCAAGTGAATTGAAATTCACCCCATTGCACAAGCAAGTGGCTATCAGGACTCAGTAGCTAAGTGGATAACGTGATGGCGTTTGAAGCGAACGGTACTGGGTTCGAGTCCCAGAGTGAACATCAACTTAGACTCAGGTACATCCAACTGACGAGTCCCAAATAGGATGGAACGCACGTCATGGATTCCACTGCAAGCCACTATCCATCTTTGCTAATAATACAAAGATTTGTGAATAAAGATTATAGAGACAATCACAATTGACTACGAAAGGTCGTAGTCAATGATCTTTTTATATGCGATATTATCTCTAAAGTACAGATGACACATAATTTTGAATCAAAACACATAAATTTCAACTTGAACTTGAAATCACACACAGCTCTCATTAAGTAAGTCATTATCCTAAATCACAATGATACACTTTTCATTTTTTCCAGTTACCATCATTGTATGCAATCAAGATTAGACTGAATTAATCTATTTTCACTAACTGAACTAACTATAAAGTATCAATTAATTAAATAACAACACCTCAGAAATTTTAGTTTCGTTAACGGTTTAACGTCTTCTTTCGTCACTACAATCAAACTTCTCCCTTCCTATCATCAAACAGAAAAGAATACAGGATGAATTGACAATTATACTGTCAGCTTTTTAGGATTCCATAGTGTTATAGTATGTTCAACTAACCACGTTGGTTACATTCAATTAAAGGTTAGATTTCAATGAGTTCAATTCATTTAGATTATCATTTTTAGATTAAATGATCTACATTTTACCGTTCAATAAAATAATATTGGATACAAGTGGGTATCATAAAATAAATGTATTATAAATTATTGGATTATATTTCAGTGATCTCATTGCACTATGCTCGCAGTAATGACTGATAGTTTCTGTTTTAGCGCAACCAGCACTTGAGCATATTATTTTACATCTCCATTATTATTATTTCGGCACATGAGAGCTAGGGTTTTTTGAGAATTACCACTGCCATTTTCTTAAACTAACGTCCGCTGAAGAAATAATATATATATATACACTTAATAAGTTCAAAATTAATAATTTAGAATATATCTGAGTTACCACTTTCTTAATAAACCTATTCACCCAATTAGCTCAGTTGATAGAATCTGTATCATGTGATTTAAGTCATTCACATCTGTATATCAGTAGTGTCAAAATCGAATACAGTTGTGACGTATGTATGCATATTTATATAGTGTGTACTTATCCCATGTATTATACCTAGAAGATGATTATCTAGTGCACACAATATGGTTTATTTGTTTTCACTTAATAATAAGTACATGAAATGGTTTAATATTTTAATGTAGCCATTGGACATGTTACTTAACATACATGTATAAATATACACATGTCTGTCTAACGATTTTTCATATTATTATGATTTGTTCTCCTGTATGGAGACACGCATAGTATCCATAGGCCGTTAGTAAACTTCAATATTTGTGTCTAGATGTTTGCATGAACATGCAGATGTGTTATATAATGTGCACATATGGCTTGTTCGCTCAATCACATTACACTGTTATTATTTAAGTTAGTAATATTAGAATTACCAGTTATTATGGGCTTTTTTCACTTTAAAAAGGAACCAATAAATTTATGACTCTTATAACTAAAGGAATTAACCATACATTGATTTAACTATTTAAATAAAGTGAATTGATAATGAAGTACTCAAATTTATTCACGTTTATGTACATATTTATACTGTAATGCAAAGGTTTACATTGGGAAATCGTAACAATCATCAGCGTGATTACCAGCTTAAAACTTAACAGCTCAAAGTGATCTAAGAGCGGAACTAGACATATAAACACACACAAACATCTATAAATTATTAATCCTCCCTTAGAAACTAATTTTAATTATTTGAAGAAAACACATTTTTTAGATAAAAAAAAACTTTCATGAGATTTGATTTGATAATTAACCCAGTTCAAGAAAATTGCATCAAATTGAATTAAAAATAGTGAATTAATTTGAAAATTAAATGTCTGGTGATACTGAGGCCACATTTATTTTATCTTTAGACGACGATGAAAATGATATTGCATCATCTCATCCAAATCACAATAAAACAATAACAGCAGATTATTCAACAGAAAATACAGTAGTTGAATTCTCTATTTCAATTAATGATGATAGCGTTGAAGTGAAAGGAGGCGATTCAATGTCATTGGAAGAACAATTAGCTTGGTGTAAGTAGAATTCATAAAGGGAACCAATTGCATGAAATATAATTTCTTCTTTTTTAAAGTGTAGAACTTCACATAATTTTCATAATGAATTAATATAAACAATCAAATAGGTGTTCTGTAAGTTTAAAGATTAATTAATGATATACATTCGAAAGTGTTTCGCAGGAATTAAAACTAAGAATTTTCTCCTAATCTGTTTATATACTTATCAAACTCAGTTTTTACTGTTTTTTAAGAAAAGTAGGTTTGATTTTAAATATTCAAAACATAGTGAATGTAGAAGCATTGAACTGTATTTCTTACCTCAAGCACTTATAAGCATTTGAAAACTCCTAAACCACTTATACCTTTGTAAATTTTGTATTTTCTATTGTTGAGTGCCTTTAGTGAATATAGGTATTCGAACAATATAATGTTGTTCAATGAATGCGTTTAGATTCATTTCCTAATTAAGTTATTTGTGAAGAACTTTTGAATTTTTGAATATAGCTTTCTCTGCCAAATGATATTAAGTGATGATCATATGGAACAATAGACAACTATATCGTCATTATTTGAAATTTGGGCCTTGAGATCTTTCAGGAGATATGATTCCTTCAAACCAATGAGGTGAAACCAGATGATCCACATTCCGACCCTAAGCTGATTCAAGATAAGCGATTAATTCGATTCCGTGATTTGGGATGTACATATTTACTATATAGTTATAATCTATTTAGTTTTTTTATGAATACTTTATCTAAATGGCATTTTACTTACATAAAAGAGTTTGATTGGAAATTATATTAAAGACATATTCATATAGTATAGCAAGGGTGTAAATAAATTTAATAGACTGAATATTGTAAATATATACCTTATGTGATGAAAGAACATTGTGACAACAGTTCAAAAGACTAGAAACAAGTAAACATTGATAGGAATAAAATGAGTAGAGTTCAGTTGATAAAATAAAATAGTTGGAATAAAACTCAATGATGTGATAAATGCAGGAAAGAGTTTAAAGAAAAGAAAAAATATTAAGATACAAGGAAGGAATATTAATCACCAAGGCAAGGAAAGATTAATAACCATCTCTTTTTGAACTCATAAATCAGGCTTTTGGCGCCTGATTGCAACTGCTTCAGCAAACTTCACAAGACTGGAGTTTGGCTGCTTACTAATCACCTTGAATGATTGTAGGGTATCGACCTGGTGTCCTGTCTCAAGGAGATGTTTAGTGATTGCACTATTTAAAGTCTTTCTTTCTCTTGTTCTGAGGCTTTTTGGAACATGTTCAAAAAATCTGAGATGTGCCCTCCTTTCTGTTCGGCCAATGATTTTAAATATCACAGTTTGTAAGCAGCTGACGAGAACCAACGAAATAGAAATGGATTCATGCGATTCTGTTAGAATGTTTGTTCTTGCTCTTTTCAAAATGATGAAGGGGACTATGTGTATAAATGGTATTTTATTGTAATTTTATAGATTATTTTCTTGTCTTTAGATTATGGCTTTTATTTCGCTTTAGTTATATACGAATTCTGATGTCTGTAATACAATGTAACATTTACATAAAAGATTAAATAGGCGAAGTTTTAATGTCAAGGTTATGCAGTTACTACTTGTTATAAATAACATGAATTTCACTTGATAATTAACTAATTATTAATAAAAATAAAACTACAATCAATCAATGCGAATATTTCGATCAATTTTGAAATTAAAAGAAACATCAAAATCAATAAACTTTGAAATTGATTGTTTGATCATACTAATTATTGACATGTTTTTCTTATTGGCTTTTTTGAAATTGATTATTCCTAAGAATTATTGAACTTCAACTGATTATTCCCGATATTGATTACCAATAGGGTTCATATAAATAAAGTACATTGTTTTACTTGCGGCCTAATAGTAGAATGCTATTGCATATATATATATATTCCATATGACGTCTTCACACTTCATATCGTGTGACTAAATAACTAATTAACTAATTCTTGGACGTTAACTACCTCACATTGCTTGAGATACCAGTCACAGCCATTTGAACGTTGTCGTCTCACTGAATAGTCCGGTTTGCATGGGTTAAAATTAAATAATCTAACTTTGTTCATAATTTGAAATCCTTTAAAAATCTAGGGACACTGAAAAACGTATTGGTAGATAATAACGGTAGCAGCACAAGAACACCTTTGAGACAACTCAATGATGATTGCGGAATTAGAGAAATCACACTTATCAATGTCTGTAAGTTAATATCACTATAAGTTAAGACTATCTCTGGTAAGACTTCATGATTAAGTGAACCACAAACAAATACAAAGTACAAACCAATCATGACTTGCAATCATGGATAATTGGAGATTTATGATAAATCAAATTAGTTCCAACAGTTTGATGACAGTATTTGATGCGAATCCTTCATCTGTTTTTTTTTACAAAACACATTAGAAACTGGTCATAATTGGATGTGTAGATGGTCAAGAGTTCGAGTTTGTGCAGAGTTTTGAATAGACGCTGTTTATGTTTTGTTTTAATAATTTGAAAATTTTGGAAAAACCTAAATTATTTTTAGACTGAATTACCGAATACGATTACCAAGATATGATCAGATTGTTTTGATAAAAGTAAATAGTATGGAAGATAGAAAAGTCAATATGAAATCTATATTTGACTTTTTCATGAACATCTAGTATGTTTTTATGCTATTGACCAGCTGACACAACATAGTATGGATAGTACTTATCTATTTTGTCACCTGGTTTTCCTAACAATATTCTTCTAGAAAATATCTAGACTGATTAAAATACTTACTGTTTATGTTCAATAAGACAGACAATCCAAAGTGAATAAAACAAGCATTGAGAAAATTGAATAGTGATAAATCAGTATATCTATTTCTCTACAAAATTCAAAGTCACCGCATATTAAAAGTAGTACAAGTTAGTCAAATCAAAATAAGGTATTTCTACTTTAGATTAAATAATCTAGGCAATTGTTATTTATCAGCAGGGTTTTTGTGGATATTATAGTAATTTCAATGGTTGAGATCATGAGTCAATTGAAGCTAAACCACCGTTTCACAATAGGACGAAACGGCCATCCAATGCTTCCATGTTTTCCATGGTGGTCTAGCTTCCACTGACTCGTTATCTCAACCATTGAGTTTATTACTTCATTTAATAATTTTCCAAAATACAATTTTATTCACTGGGTATCGTTTACTTGAATCTTCCCATTGATGTTTAGGACTGGAATTGATCAATCTCTTATTAGTATATGTGCATACTGTGTGTATCGCCTCAATATTACCTTAATTTACAAGCATTATAAGCAAAGATAGTTAGTGGCTAGCAGTTTTATGCTTGAACATTTAAAAATAAATGTTTCCTTATGATCCATCTTCAATGATTAAACTTTCACACTTTGGAAACTAAAATTCAAGTTAAAAGTTAATTTACACGAACGCTCCAAATTTAGATTCTATTAACTCTATTTGTTTTGTTTTGTTCATTTTTGTTGTTGTTGAGTAAAACAATTCACATATTACTAACCTGTTTAAATGTTCAATAATGGCGTTCACGTATTTTTATTCAAGGACTCATACATTTTTACTGTACAGAAATGAATGATTACTAGTAATTATTTTTTTAATGTTAGCAAACAAAATGCTAGTTTCACTTGCAAATTATGCCTGTATCTACTCATTAGTTATCATTTAGTCGTCATTTATTCTATTTAAAACATGAGATTTAAATCTAGTGATCTTTTATTGAGCATACATTAACTTAACTAAATTTCGAAAATTATGTTTTCGATAATGATCAATGATAGAATAAAGAAAACGTATTTCAAGTTTATTGTATTTTTATTACGGTAATAGGGATTGTCCATGAGAGTAGAACGCAATAGCTAAAACTTTAGACGTAACGAAAGCCATTTACATATTCTAAATAAATAATATATTTGTAATATCCTAATGAGTAGAAAAATTAGATTTTCTGACGTTTCGTGACTTAATTGCAGTCCTAAACATCAATCGGTAGATTCAAGTAAACAATACCTAGTGAATAAAACTATATTGTAAAAAATTATTAAATTAAGTAATAATCTCTGAAGAAGTGGCTTACACTAAGTCACAAAACGTCAAAAAATCTAATTTTTCTACTGATTGGGATATTACAGATATGTTGTTTATTTATATCACTCTACCCAATGCTCAATTTATTCGAAATTATCAAATCAAACCTTGGTAATGTTATCTGTTTACATATTCATCGTCTATTTATCAAATATTATATTTACCCGGGGGTTGTACCTTTCCGTTTCCCCATTATTATTATTTATTATTATTGTTACACTACCATGCACTAAGCTGTGGTCGTTATTGTTTTTTTCTTATACGCAACTTACCTCCCTTTTCTCTTCCCATCCTCATTATTTTATGTGGCGCATATATATCTGGTGCCCTCTTGTGTTCAAATAAATAAACAAATCTTAGTCCCCTTGTTTCTGATATTCAAGGTCAAATTGATTTTTGGCAGTCAGTAAATGGGTGACTACCGAATAGAACTTAATATTTGATAACCATATAAATGTTACTATCATCTAACTATCCATTCTAAAGAAATGATCAATGCAATCATAAGTACTGATGTTTATTTTATTGTAACATTGGTTTTCCATGAATATTATTTTCATAAATGAGGCACTTATTTTGTTCATTAATATTGTCTCTAGAATTTGATAAGTTTTGGAAAGGAAATTTTACAATGATTTCCATTTTGCTGTTCAAAGCTAAAATATTAGTTTATGTATGATGGATAAATTCAAAACTACCATCAAATTGTCATTTATAGTACTCTAATGTTTCCCTTCTAGTCATCATTTGGTTAAATGGAATTTAATTTTTTTAAAGAATATTCAATAGGAAAAATATGTTTAAACTAGATCACAACTGGATCACAACGATATCCCAAAAAATTCACCAGCTAACGTTACCAATCACTAATTAC